CAAAACCCACAAACTCGTGTGCACAACGAAGCAAAGCTCATTTCTCTCCCCAGGGCCAGTTGACAAGGCGGACTTTCTGGGTGGGTCCCCGTTACAGGTGCTTTGTTCTTTTCCAGAGGCCCAGTTAAAATGTCTGCCTCTAGATCTATTTTTATTCCCTTATTAAGGTTTATTAAAAAATAAACTCCTAAGTCAAAAGCGGTTTCCGAGTGAGCACATTGGGATTCTCTGGTCAGGCCGCGTCCTCGGTGTACGCGGTAGTCACCATGGTCACGCTCCTCTCTTGAGGACGAGGTGGCTGTGGCTTCAGAGCCTCGTCCCTTGTCCCTGCCAGTGTCATCAACGCACAAAGCTTCTGCTTCTCTCAGAATCTTTAATTACTCCGTGCTTTTCTCAACCCCTTCATTATTACAAGCAATTAAACTGCAGAGGTAACGTCATCGTTTGGACATCTGGAAGAGATTACACCATTCTCATTTCTCTCCAACCAAACCCCCCTAAGAGCCAGGCAAAGACCCCCAGGGCTGAGGTGGGCGGGTGCCAGGCAGGGGGATGTGTGGGGTCAGCCCAGGAGATTGTCCCAGCTGATCCCTGGGTCTCTGGTGCCTGGACACAAGTTACCCAACCTCTGGGGACCTCAGTCCCCACCTGTAAAGAGGCCTGCTGTCCAGGTCACGGAGACGCTTAAACTCATGGGTCTATGAAAACACTCAAGAAGTGCTCTACAAAGTCCGGCAAAGCCCTTATTTGATAGAGATTCAAAGCGTTCTGATCTTATTGAGGCAATCAGATTGACAAGACAGTAGGACACCAAGTTTGCATGAGTTTTAAAGCGGAAATAGGAGTTTTGAACAAATTTCCTGTGTTTGGTGAAAACCTGGGGCCAGATCCAGGTATCCTGGGCACAGGACCCTCAGACCTTGCAGGACTCCCCGGCTGGGCTTCGGGGACACCAGCAGTCTGCTCGGCTCTCAGGCTGAAGACTGCGGAGGAGGCTGAGCAGTCTGGACACCCCAAGAAAAGGCTCGTCTTGACCATGAACAGCTGCCCAGAGGGCCTCCCAGGCAGGCGGCCCTTTCATGTCCACTGAGATCCCGATTCCAACCCCAGCCCACCCTGAGCAGCCCCTGGTACCTGTGAAAGGCCCAAAGGAGCCTCTGGGTCCCCTCCACCCTGTGCCTCCTTAGCCACCTTGAGTAGATTCCAGCAGCTCCCCTTGCAGAGCCATAGAGTTCACGGGTCAGCAGGGGCTCAAAGGAGGCACCAGTGGGTACCCCTGGACCCTGGGCCACTCCAGTGCTGGGCCATGTCCCCTCACATCCCACAGTCCTTGGCCAGGGGCAGTTGGCCACCAGGGGTGGCTACAGTATGGGCATGACCTGCTGGTATCAGAAGGAGGACAAATATGGCAGCCGCAGCAGCTCCCCAGTCCTCAGAGCTGAGCCTTGTCGGGGAGGATGGGGCGAGCTAGAAAGACCAGCGGAACTAGGGAGAGGTGAGGAGGGTGGCCCAGCCCCCCAGCCCTCTAGCCCCCCAACCC